GCAGACGGCGGCGCCGCGCCGCGCGGGACCCGGCTCCCCGAAGGCCTCCGGGGACAGCCCGGCCGACGAGTACATGCAGTCGGCGCAGGAGCCGTAGGAGGGCTTCACCTTACTGAGGATCCCAAACACGGCGTCGTGCTGCAAAAAGAGAAAACGGGGACAAATGAACGTGCACGGAACAACACCCCAGCAACAGGCAGAGTGGAAGGCCCAGGGGAGACATTCAGAGCCAAGCAGACCTTTCCGCTCCTGTCAATGCCCTGCAGAGGGAACAAACAATCACACATTTCCCAGCAGACAGTAACCTCACCAGAAGAACACCTACCATTTCATGTGATGGTCATGCAAGCAAGCTGCCCGCGCGCTCTACAGCGCACTCACGTGCGTGCGCGCTTTCTCTGGCATCTAAATCCGCAGCGTGGGCAAGCAAAGCCCCGTTCAGAAGCACTTCGAAAAGGAAGCAGCTCCTCATGGAATGAAAGGGTTTATCCAAGTCAAATGAAACGGGGCTATGAAGATGAGAAGAGCCGTCTCACTTGCAGCAGTCAGCCATGCTAGTCACCCGAATTCAATTCCATACGCACCTCAAAATCCTCCGGGCAACTCCTTTTGCTGTTGTTGTTATTCAAGTTCTCCCTATTAAGCCTGCTCTCCTCCTTGTGCATGGACAAGCGACGCTTCCACCTCTCCATAGGATTTTCCTCCCTGACACCATCCTCGCCCGGGTCCCTGGGGCCGGGCACTCTCCTTCCCTTCCGGGGGCTGAATTCCAGTTTCTTCCTCACTTCCTTCTCGCAGAAGCTGCTCAGCTCCGTCGCGGGCTCCGCCGGCTCCAGCGCTTTGGCCGTTTCCACCCTCCCATCGGAAGACGCAGGGAGAGGCTGTCCCGCCGGCAGGCCAGTTCGCTCCGCAACCGCATCCCGCTCCAGCTCCTCCACCTGGAAAAAGCCCTCCCTGTCTCCCGGTATCTTGTTCTCCAGGAGGGTATCCGAGAGGCGCCGGAAGCAGTAAGTGAAGCCCACGGGCACCTCGGTGCTGCCCCGGTTGTCCAGGAACGCCGGCTGCGCGGGGGTGTCCAGGTCGGCCAGGCGGTTCTCCAGGTCGATGTCCAGGCTCTCCAGGAGGATGTCTCCCGTGCCGGCGCTGCCGTCCGTGCTCGCCGGCAGGTTGCTCTCCGCCTGCTGCTTCCACAGCTTGTTGTGCCGCTGCTTGCTGGGGACAAGGAGGAGACACGTGTGACCGCAGGCGCCAAGGGCCGCACTCCCCTCCTACACGGGGGAAAATCACAACCCCGAGCCCAGCCCCGCAGCCCTGCGTGGGCAAAAATCTCTGGAGCAGCAGGATTTTGTCCATCGTGCCCCTCTGCTCGAGTCTTTTTGACCCTGCAGCCCCCAACAGGGAACACCCGCTGCAAAGAGCCCTCGGGGCAGAGGGCACGGAGCTCCCGGCCACGCTGGGCTGAACCCACCGCTCGGCACGTCTGAAGCAGAGTGCCCAACGGTTGTGTTCTCCTTCCACTCCAGCAAAGGCCAAGCCGAGCATGCAGAAACCCTTATTAGCTGCTGCAGCGCTGGCAGTGACAAAGGAGTGTGACTGGCACGGTCACCCGGCGCCGCGAGCGAGCGGCCCCAGCGCCGTTCTGCCTCAGGAAACAAGAACAACGTTCTGCCGAGCGGTGCTGCCCGCCGAGGAACGCCAACCGCTTCCCAAAGCGGAGAAACCCTCATGGAATTCATCCCGAGCAGCTCTCCTTAGAACACGGCTAATTTCCACGCGGGGAGCCTGGCACGGGCAGGGTTTAGAGGAGCACCGCGAGCCCCGGCCTCCGCCTGTGCCCTTGGGAGAGGGTCTGTCCCCCAGCCGCAGGACCAGGTGTCCCTCCTGCAGGCACACGCAGTGGCACGAGATGCTCTGGCCTCACCAGAAACCCACAGACCTTGACCATCATCCTGCGATTCACCGGAGCGCTGGAGTCGCTCATTAGCTCCTTGTCTTTCCCACAAGTCGCCTTGCCGTTCGCCTTAGCACTCACCTTGCATCCAAAATGCCTTCATATTCCAAGAGCTGTCTCATGAAGCCTGCGTTTGGCCTCGCAATGCTGCGCTTCTGCTTCACATAATTATAGGCTTTTTCCAGGGACCAGCCAAATTCCTTCATGGCATAAGCTATAACAGTGGATGCTGAGCGGCTGACTCCCATTTTGCAGTGCACCAGGCACTTGGAGTGATTCTTCCTGCAGGAGAGAAGAGGAAACTCCCTTACATCTTTCTGGTTATTATAGTTGTCCTTATGGTTTTAAAGGACAGGTGGGGAGTCCTTTGGTCCTCCTGAGTGTTCCCACATCACAGGTCAAGAGCTGGCAAATACTCTGGACGCAGGAAGCCCTGGAAAACCTCTCTGCAGAGGGCTCTGAGGCTGCAGAAGGGCCACACTGCCATTTCAGAGGCCAGCACGGAGCCTCCAGCTCGTGTTTTTGGCTGCAGGGACAAGCAGGGACGGCAGCGCAGCGGCCGGCTGGGCTCTGTCACCGCCGCTTGCCTGCGCTGGCCTAATACGGACACGAGCTGGAGCAGTGACAAAGCTTCTCGAGAGGAGGAAGCGTTCTCGCTTCCGCTGGAGAGCCAAATGACACAACTAAGAAAATAAAACCACCCACCAGGAATGGGTTAAACCCCGACCAGTGCAGGAACAGACCAGGAATATGGAACTTCCAGGGACAGCGAAAGCTCCTGGGAAAAGCAGGATGCAATGCGCAGGTTGTCACCTCCAGCTGCGGTGCTCGGGTGACACACGCAGGGCCCGGAGCCCGAGCGGTTCCCAACGCGAGAGCAAATCCAAGCCCTGTCCTCTCTCCCTGCCCGCGTACTTGGCCTTGTTGATGAAGTGATAGGCCTCGTTCCAGTGCGCCAGGAGGTCGGTGGTCTCCTCGTCGTACACTCGGATGTTGTGATACGCAAACAGCCCAGGGAAGAAGTTGTCGATCTCCCTGGTCACGTTTAAGATGTAGTCGATGCTGCAGAGGACGAGAAGAGAAGCAGAGCTGAGCTGTCGTGGCCACCAAAGGGGAGGTGACGCACGCTGCGGATCACAGGAGCTCTGACACAGGAGGTGCAACAGCCCCAATCCTGACCCCCCGGTGACAAGTCACCCAGCGACCCGCGAGGCCGGTCCATTCACCCAGCGCTCGGCACCGCCACGCCAGTTCTGGAGAAAACTGCAAAGATTGCAAGGAATTCGTCCGGGCAAAACCCGGGAACAGAAGCCAGGAAGTCCCAGTTTTCAAACACAGGCGTTTGCCACAAAACCATCCTTCTCTTCCCAACGAAAAATAGGAAGCGAGAGTCGCATGATCTCTCTCAACTCCTGCCAAATATTGCAGCAGGGTTTACTACGTACCGGGGAGGATGAATGCCCATATTGATTTATTCTTATCATTCAGACAAATCAAGGGCACGGGATATTTATTTCAGAATTTGTCCAGTTTTGACTTTTAGAAACTGAATTTCAACTTGCTTCCACTGTAGGATCAAAGTATTAACGTGCTGCCTGATTCACTTGTTCAAAGGTGTTCAGACAGCTGCTCCCAAGGACTCCAAATTAAACATTTTTGGTCATGCTGTTAAGCAGTATTTTTCAGTGTCTCGCATGGAAGTCCGTGGACACCTTAGCTAATATTTATATGCAAAATTCTCACTCGTCTAAAATGTGTGAAAGAAAATGAAGCCAAGAAGGGGTGCAGTGATGAGCGGGTGGTGAGAGATGCCCTGCAGCTGCCTGCCTGGGCAGGCGAGGTGCAGGCTGCTCATCCCCACGGAGCTCTGCTCCATTCAGAGCTTGGCACTCCATACATCCTGCAGGAATTCCCACCTGGCACAGCCACACGTACGTCCATTCATGCTGCTCCAAAACGGGGTATTTTTTGGAGACTTCGAGGTATATAACAGCTTCTCATTTGTAGCCTCCACTCTACGCATGGTAGAAACGAGGTAGAAAAGATTTCTTGACGCAGGCCCTGGTGGCAAGTTACCCACCTTGGTGGCAAGCGGACCCAGACTTGGCCCTGCAGCCTACGAATGTCCTAGGTCACCTCTAGAGACCTGGATGCAAGTTAAAGGCAGTGATCCAAGGTGTACAAGAGCCTAAGGACAGCATTAGGAAGACTCACCCGGAGCCCTGCAGCTCCTCGAGGTTGGAGGCGTTCCACTCGGAGCCCTGCAACGGCAGCAGAGACACAAGAAACATTTCAGAAGAGCCCAGATGCTGCTGCCCCTGCCAGCAGGGCTGAACCCACCCGGACACACTGCCCTGGAACAGCAGGATTTTTAACCACAGATTAAATAGAGAAGGGGAGTGAAATACTGAGCATGGTTGAGATCACAGGTGCATGGGAAGCAAGGCAAACCCTGAAAGTCATGGGGTAATTACACTTTGGATCCTGTCTGTCCCTGCAAAACAGGGCAAAAAGGGTACATAAACCAAGCTTTGCCCCCACATATCAGTGTTTCCTATCAAGCTCTCAAGGCGCAAAATACGACATAAAGGCATAAAGGGCACAAATATGTTCATCTCAAGTAAGTCTTTGTTCCAGATGTCAGTGCCTGGTTTTGCTTGGAGTACCATCTAGTGGCAAAGCACTACAGGAAACACAGCTTGGCTTCTGCAAAAGCTTGAAGAGCTCCAGCCTTCCTCTTCATAGAGCCTTGACCACGACTAAGGAATTGATAGGCACAACCAAGAAAAAGACTGGAGTGATGCTGGTCAGGAGAAGGGCACAGAGCTGTCACACCAGAGCACGTCCACAGCTAGACCCTCTCTCCATCTTAAAACAAAATCTCCATTACCAGAAATGCAAAATGCATAGCACGTGAGCTATGCCATGGTATCTCCTGAAACAGGGTGTATCTGCCAGAAAAGAACCCCAAAAGTGTCACAAACAAGAGCTTTTTAGGAAAAAAAATGGACTTCTGCACCATGGGCTTTCACAAGCAGCAGGGGCCCGGGGCAGAGCCTGCAGGAAGGGTGAGAACAGCCTTGCTCGTGCTGCAGAACTCAGCCCTGACACCAAGCCCAGCTTCTCCTCAGCCCAGGGACCTGCCAGGTCACTCCCACCAAGTCTCCAGGCTCCCGACACTGCAGCTTACCAGATACAAATGATCGAAGATCAGAGACGGTTTGTCCATCTGACCCAGGATAAGCAGCATCTCATTGTCTATGAATTCCTTGAATTCTTTCAAGTTGCAGTTCATGTGTTTCTCCAACTCATTTCGGATCTGCAGAGCACAAAAGAAAGGATGCCACCTGGAATCCTGTCTGTTCAGTAGGAATATTTGCTGGCAACTCCTCTGCCCAGCGAGGCTCCCGCAGGCATTGTGCACTTCGTTAGGAGAGCAAGAAGGATCTGCCCTTTGGGCAACCTCACTACCTGGCTTCCCTCCAGTATCTTAGGCCCTCAGTTTTAACAACTCTAAATAAAGCTTCAGGCAATGCCTCAGTAAAAACTTCCCCATTTTGGGGTACCTGCTTCTTAAAAATAATTTAAGAGACAATAAGTCAGCCCTTGGAGAGCAGCTAACATACAAATGTGAAACCCATTAGCAGCAAGAAGTGAATAATGGTGGTGAGCGAAAGGAGAATCCGGAGATTTCCAGTATTTCCCCTTTCTAAAATGTCAGGGCACAGATATCCATCTCTCTTGCTGCAGTGAAGATGTTCTCAGCTCACGCCTCGAACCTGTAAAGCTGCTCTACACAAACATGTACCTGAATCTTTCAGTTTTAAGCAATTTAACAGTCTCCCTTGAAACAGCCTCCCTTGAAAACAAGCAGAAAACACAACCCAAAAAGCACCATTACCATTTGCCCTGCAAACGTTTGCACTGTGGCCAGATGTATTTGCATCACCCTTGGGAACAGATCCAATCTATTTCCTTGACCTGTGATTCTCCATCCATAGAGTCACTAGCAAGATTTTGCCTGCAAGCCACTGACAAGAGAACCTGAATATTGAAGCCGACAGTGAGAAAGGAAGATACTGTTTGCCCACATGTGCTACAAGCAGCTGTAATGCAGGTATCATCTCTAATGCCACTCTCCTGGCAAAGAAACGGGTATTTGGCACTTCAGAGTCAAATGCTTGTTACTAAGGACTTGAAATATTTACTCTGATGTTGCTATTACCCTCATTTTCCTGGTGGAGACACAGATGTGAAGCAAAGCCTCTAAGGAACAGCTGGGAATGTATATCAAAAGCCAGAGACACCTAGTTAGATGGTGCTCCTTCATTAATGCAACACGCTACAGAAAAGAAGGATAGCGGGAATAAGATGACAGCAACAGATTTTCTACTTGCCTCCTTGGAAGTCACGTTTTCCAGGTCTTTGCTCATCATGATGCTCCGGAGTTTGGCTTTAATGAGCCGCTCTGTTCGCTCCCTTTCAGTTGGCCTAGCAGGGAAAAGGAAGGGATGTTCCCACCAGGCAGCAAACGCTCTCCCAGGATGTGCTGGGAAAGACTCACATCCAGCAAAGTGACCAGAACGACAGGAAAAAACAATCAACCAAAACCAAACAGCAGGACGCTTATGAGGTGAAAGGAAATGAGCCCCTAGAGGAACAAAAGGGAGAAGGGGAGATTCTTCTCGTGAGCCAAGCTAGGGTTTAATAAAACTCAGAACTTACTTGTCAACAAAAAGGGCCGGAGAGTCCGGGCGCGTGGACTCCAGGTCCTGCATCGCGTTCCACTCGTTGATGCAGCTCTGGTCGGAGCTGATGCAGCTTTCGTAGTACGTGGCCCAGACCAGGGCCATTCCCCCAGGGAAGTAGTTGTACCTCCTCGCCACCTCACAGGCTTTGTGGAGGATCTGTAAGGCAGACCTGCAGATGGGGAGCACAAAGTTGTACAGGTGTGAGCAGCAGAAACGCACAGAGCAGCATCTCAGAGGCTTGCACAGAGGAAAATGGTTTTCAGCTTTGTTTGCTACAGGTTTGGGGCACAGATTTTTTTTTCTATTTTTTTTCTTCTTTTTTTTGTGGGATGGGCTGCAGGTTTATTGCATCTGAGTTCAGAGAGGGCACAAGCTGCATCTTGGAGTTGGTCAAGAGTTGGTCCAAAGCAGAGGTTAGCATTTTATTCCAATCAACAGGCAAAATGAGGCACAAATCACTCTGGGATCTAATCATTAGCTAACTTGTAAAGCCAGACTAAAGAAAAATAAAGCACATGGACAATTTTCAAACCACCTTCAGCAAGGATTCAAACGCGTATTTACCAGCATTCTTGATCCCTGACATGCTCCAGGGACAGAGCCCAGATTGGGTCATTTGTTTTTGTAAATTCTAGCATTAATTTTTCCTCCCCCTCTTTCCCCCCCCACCTCCTCCTTTTTTTAAGGCTCCACTTTGAAGTTATTAAACTGACTACACAACCACATCCAAAACTACCAACAGGACCTCGAGCTCAAAAATGACAGGGACACACGTTTCATTTGTTTCTGTTCCAAATCATCCCTAATGCGACGTCCTCCTCTGCAGCTGCATCTTTGCCCTGTCAGATGCTCCACGAACAGGGATCTCATTAAGCTCCAAGAGAAGCCCCGGCCGGGCCAAGACCCGTGGGGAGCGGTGCCTTCAAGGAGGAATTTCCTGGAGCGGCCGCTGCTGATTCAGCCTCTCTGCTCCGGGGTTTGGGAATCGCTGCAGGCAGAGCCGAAAGGTGAACGTGAGCGCGGGGCGAGCGCCCACGCAGCAAGACCTCGCCAATGACATGGGGCTGGCACGGGCTCGCGAGGCTCCGTTTTCAACCATCAGAAAAACATGCACAGGGAGGAACAGCAGAGTCTGCAGCCTGAGGATTTCGGGTTGGTCTTTCGTGTTTATTCACCTCGTTAGTGCCATTTCCCGTTGTCTTTACAGCCAGGAGCACAGAGCTGCTCTGCAGAGATGCAGAGGAAGCTGCTTTGGGATTGTCTCCCAGCGCCTTTTCAGAGCTGCTACCTGCTGACACAGGAAAGCAGCATCTCCACTGCAGCTCGCTAAGTACTAGTCACACAGAAAGCTCAAATGAAGTTTGCTGTTTTAATTTACTGCAGAAATGCCAGCCCCTTCCTCGGCTCAGCTCGTTAAAGTACCTACCACATGGCTTGCACTGACACCGGCTTGAAGATGTGCATCCTGCCTGCGGTGCTCACGCTGAAGCCACTAAGAGAGAGGAAGAAATCGGTGACAAACTGCTCCTGGGCATCAGGAGCTGCTCCGTGAGCAGCCACGGCAAAGGCAGCTCTGGGAATGCGGACACGGCACCCGCAGGTGGGACAGGGAGGAGAATTTGCAGCACCTGATTATCCAAATCCTCCCAAATGAGGATGCCAAGTGACCAGCTTTCCCTGATGAGTTATAATTCCACCTCTTGGGTGGCATTTAAGGAAGCTCTTACTGGTGTTATAGGTCTCACTAACAGTATGAGGGCAGTAAGAGGAAAAAAAAAACCCTCAGTGACGGTGTAAAAAGACTGCGGTGATGAGTTCAAAATTGGAACTTCATTTGCAAGGTGAAAGAGAATCTCCCCTAGAGCAGCCCTCAGCAAAAAAGGACATTCACATTTATCTTTTAATGCAGTTTCTTACCCATCGCCATCGAGGTGGATTTTAGTATCACTCCACAAGCGAAGGACCATTCCTATAGTGCAGCTTTTACTGGAAGGGAAATGCAGAACGTTAAATACAGGCCACAGCACGGTCACACCATGTTAAATTATGAATACCCTTTCATTTTGAAAAACTCAAGCCTTGCTCTAGGAACTGCTAGTAACACCTTGGGCCATTTAATACATTCGCACACAAGGGAATCAGCAAACTGAAGCTTAAGGGTTAATATTCCCATTCCCAACGGCTCCGCGGGGCTGGAGCAACGGGAGGCTGGAAGCAGCAGGCACCAAACGCCTCCTCTGCCCCCTCCACGCCAGCAAGAACGGAGGCATCTGCCCCAGCAGCTCCATCATCCTCACGGGCTCCAGGCAGGAATCCCAGGACACAGCGGCACACGGCAGCGACCGGCGGCGGATCCAGCTCCCAAAAGCCAGGAGCAAGGAAAACCTTGGTGGGTGGCAGAGCAGCCACCTGCCCGTCCCAAAGGGGACCCAAGGGGCCCTTCGAAGGGCCCTGTTCAGTTTTCACTTCGTCACTTTGGCTGGTAGAAAAAAGACTAAAAGGACTTTACGAGTTTACCTAGTCCAAAAGAACATTTGAGTTTCAGAGAAGCAATCTGGCAAGAAAAGTATACTCTAATGGTACCAGTAACTTTCAGCTAGTAAATAATTAAGCTGCCAAGACATTAAACTTTTAAAGGAAATCAGTATGCATACGACAGCAGCAAGTTAGCACAGAACTTTATTTATTTATTTTTAAAAGACTTCAGCCTCTTCCTACATCAGATCAAAGGAGCTGACGGGCTGGTTTGAACACACATGTGGGCAATGTGCACTCTGGAGCTTTGAAGGGAAAAATGTTTTTTATTAAACACATATAAAGGGAATAAAACCCACAAAGGTGCCCAGCTGGTCAAACTGTCAGCAACCAGGACCCTTGGAGGCCAACAGTGACACTTCAGCCACAGGGTCCCTCAATAAAGCCACTAATGCCAATGGGCTTCATCTTGCATGAAGCTTTTCCTTAATTAACAAAAACTTCAGCTTTCAGGGGAAATAGGAATCGAAACAGCAGCCAACCTTAAAGATAGAATGGATTTGTCATTTGGTAAGGAGCCAGCTCCTTAGGGAAAGCTACTGTTATCTGGGGGGAAGAGAGGGCAGAGGAAAGAGGGGCTGGGCTTGTTTTCTTATTTTAGGAATTCACATCTACTTTGTTATTTCCAAAACAAAACAGTGCTGCGTTTTGGATCTGCAAAGACATCTAGGGTTTTTGCTTTTATTCCACACTTTGAATGGGGAACGTTTCAAAATGCACATGAATTTATGGAGCCGAAACTTGTTATTTTGGCTTGTTCTACCTTACCCATTCCAGGAACCACAAAGTTATAGAGGAAAAGAGGGGGTCTCTCGTTAAAAAGCAACACTTGAGCGTGCGGGAAGGCCACCCTTACCTCTCCTTGCTGGAGAAATCCACTCCCAGCAGGATGTTCTCCTCCGTGTCCTGCCGCCCGCTGCTGTACACGACCACCATGTACCGCACTCTGTCCGTCCACACGCTTTCCAAACGCACGGCCTGGAACAGGGGAACCAAGCTCTGCCACCAGCTTCTGCACGAACCTTACTGCCACTATCAACGAGTATTTTTTGAGGTACCGACTACTACTTTTCAATTATTACAAAATTCAACCCAAAGTTCTTTTCCGAAGAAGTTTAACTAGAAGATTTGCAGACACATTGGGGAAACAAGGGGAAAGAGGAGCCAGCTCTGAGGTTTCTTGCGCTCCTACACGTGCACGCTGCAACATGGCAGCAATGCTGCTGGGTAGTTAGCAAGGGCTTTTCCGCACTGACTTTGTACCCTCTGCAGATTTCTTTAAAAAAAGGAAGCCTGGCCCCATTTGGGTGCAATTTCAGGACTGATTTAAAACAAATCAAGCCTGAAGTATCCACTACCAGCTGCTCTTCTGCATTACTGCTTGGGAGCTTAATGGAAAATTAAACTTATCAAAGTTTCAGCCACATCAGCTTCCTGACTTGCTCACCCAGCCCCTAGGTGTGAGGAGCAACCCAAAAAGTGGGGCAGGACCATGCAGTGGGGCTGGCCACCAGCACAGACTCCCTTTGGCTTAAGCTATCTGTGAACCCTGCATTTATGGGCTGTTTATTTCAAACAGGTCCAAGAGAAAGAAGGGCAGCACAACACATCGCTCCTCACCAGCTTGATTCTGTCCTCACAGCGAAGGAGGTTGATCATCACCTGGAGGTGCTGGGGCAAATCACCTGCAGGGAAAGCAGAAAAATAATCACAGAGAAAAAATCACACAGAGTCCCACTGGCCACCCTAAGAACAGGCATAGCCTTGACTTTCAGTGGAATTGGACATTTCCCTTAGTTAGAAAATGCCATTCAAGGGAGGCCAATGGAGCTCTAGTGTTCCAGATTATCCTAACAGGAGGAAGCTTCTTGGATGAGTGAAACGTGGCTGAGAAAGAACAAGGCCCTGCAGGTACCATCTATATTGTGACCACCTGTGACTGGCACGAACCACGATGCTCTTCCAGCTAGAGCATCTTGTGGAAGGCAGAAAATTATGTGCATTGAAGGCAGGGGAGAAAAAGGCAGGAGGGTCATTCTGCTTAAAAAACAAATTGTCAAAGAATAAAGGAGAGGTTTTGACTTATGGAACAAAGGCAGCATCGCGGGATAAGACCCACTGGGCTGAACATGAGAAACTTCTGAGCAAGGAGGGCTGCAGGAGCGGCCCCGTTTAGGTGAGGGATCCTCCATCTGCAGCAAGGGCCCTTCACACAGCAGGTCCCATAGGACCCACAGGGGTGGCTGCATTCCTGGCCAGTGAAAGCAAGCTGAGGAACAAAGAATCTCGAAGAAAACAAAACAAGCTCACATCCAATGACTTAGTAATGCACTCAGAACTTTCCATACGAGATAAAATTCCTTCCGTAGGATGTTTTCGGGGTATATGAAATTGCTGACAATCAAAGAAGCCCGAAGCCAGGCTTGGCACTCAAACAGGCTCTTTGTGCTCGGAGTGTTTACCGAGCAGCA